TTGTAACAATTTTCTACCGAACTGAAGTCGTTAGTTGGCCGGGTAATCAAACAGTATCAGATGTCCGCACATTTTGCATGTCTTCATCTACCTTGGAACAACAAGGTAGACTAATTTATAGGTAGCTTCGCGTTTTTTGCCTTCGAGTGTCGTCACTTTGGTTCGAGGAATAACATCAACATCGCCAGTGACAGCAACCCCGGATTACAGACTGGTATTTCACTGCCCTACAGCCATATCAATTTACTTGAATAAAGCCTTATAATCGAAACAAGAAAAACAATGGGGCGGGGAGAGAACTCGCTTAGAACACAATGAACGCCACTGACATCGGTTAGCCGCTAGATTGTTGTGTTTCCAGCCAAGCGGAGGGAAGGTTACGTGGACCCCATCCTGGAATGCGAGCAGCACCAAAAAATCCTCGAAACATTCTTCATTCCCTTGTGCCACGTTAAATTCTGTGTATCTCAAGCTTTTCGCTATCTCGAATTAAGCACGGAAGATAGCGCTCGTCTGGGCGGGCGGTAACTCAGCACGCGCAACGCGTGGCTCAGCCACCTTAGCTTACAGTACTAGGTACATTCTTTCAGTTTATTACCGTCCTTTTCACTAAAACCCGTCCGATTTTCACTTGTTCATGATTCGTTGGTACCAGCCGACTCCATCTATATGCTTGAGACATCAGTAGTCGAAGACCTGAAGATGTCTCAAACCCCCCGCCCGAAGTAACCAAGTCTCGCAGCCACACAACACCATAGCACATACTGTAGATTGATACCGACGTGCTTTGAAACTCAGTGATATTTTTTTAACGCCCTAAATGGTGCAAATTGAAAAAAGCAACTCTGGTCTTTGAAATTCATGCTCTCACTATCACTTGAGATTAAGCACAGCTGCCGTTCTTCTTTGAAACAAGAGGTCACAAGCCACCTATTTTCGCATAAAACTACAACACCCCCTCCTTAAGCGGCCGATCTTAGTAGCATGAACCTCTGAAAACCTTCATTTGTGTATACAAATGCATGAGCACTGTGGCTACGAAACCAAAGACCCTCCACAGAGAGATACATTCGAAAAGCGGCTAGCACTTCAGACAGTCCACAAGAAGGGTTTTATGTTGCCCAGGCGTAGTAGGCGAGTCGTGTTCCGGAATGAGCACTTTGGCTCCGAAACCAAAGGCCCTCCACAGAGAGATACATTCGAAAAGCGGCTAGCACTTCAGACAGTCCACAAGAAGGGTTTTATGTTGCCCAGGCGTAGTAGGCGAGTCAGCTGTGTTCCGGAATACTCGCAGATCCATTCGTTGTTGGCCTGTTTGTCCAGCATGGCAGTTGAGTTGCAAACATTTCGTCATCAGGTGAGGAGATATCATCAGTGTACTGTTGAACGTGTGTTCCCTCTTCATATGTTTGAGAGTGTATAGTTGAAATTTACAGTAGCTGAAGTAATTCCGGCGTAATTAGTTAACAGGGGGTCCGGTTGTCGTTGTGTTTTGGGATGGCGTTGCATCGTGGTCCAATCTGCTTACATTTGTCAGAAGCCTTCACTTTCCACTCTTTGTTTTGATGTCTTTGATATGGAAGACTTTTTCGTCTTGTCCTCGCTTGCCTCGCCTTGTCCAGTTGCCACTTCCAACCGCGCATTTGAAACATCTGTTGTGTTGTGCTGCGATAACACTTTGCCCCGACATCAAGGTTTGGTCGTGCAGTCGGTCAAAAAAATCGGAGGAAATAAATACCCGGCACATTCACCTCTCCTTCTGTGATGAATGTATACCCACACTGTAACTGAGGAAGCGCTTGAAAAAAATGCTGAAATACTGTGAATCTGTTGCTTACTACATATTGTATCATTAATTCCACGCCCCCAATGGCGCTCGTGCATCCAAGCTATTGCCTTCAATGCATAGCTCCTTTTCCACCCCCCCCCACTTGACAGCCCACTGACAGTGCAGGATTTATGCACCAATTTACCAGGTCGCGCGTGCAATGCGCAGCTACTTACCCCCCAATCATGTGTATGGGGACCCCGAGACGGGCCACATCAATGGCTAGAGACATCATCAGACATGGCCCAGTCGCGCCTCAATGGCGCTCATGCATCAAATCTATTGCCTTCGATGCATAGCTCCTTTTCCAATCCCCCCACTTCAAAGCCGACTGACAGTGCTGGATTTATGCACAAATTTATCAGCTCCCGCCTGCAATGCGCAGCTACCTACTCCCCCCCCCAAATCATTGGTGAACGAAACTGCGGCAGCTACAACCAGTGTACGACGAGTACGCGGTTCTTACAGCTGACGATGATGATTAATTCCACGTTTCAATTGTACTTTCTACCGTCTGATCTAATGACGAGCTGGCCTTGTTGCATCAAACTAATTCTCACACCGGACCGACCACGCGTTACGTCATACAATCTAAGGTGTTCGTTTTCCCTCCAGAGAGTTGAGGCACAGAGCTACCAGTCTCAATAAGAGCGGGTGCTATTAGACGCGGATCACGGAAGGGTTTGTTTCTCTACACAGACAGACATGCAACCCAGTCAGTCCAGTCGGCTGAGTTAGCCTTTTTGCCGTAGAAGGTGTACGATTGCTCATATACCGGTGTATGACAAAGATACAAAAATTACGATTCATACACTGCCTTGCACTCGCAAGCAGCTCTTGCAGCGGGTGCTAGTAGATGCGGATCACGGAAGGGTTTGTTTCTCTACACAGACAGACATGCAACCGGTCAGTCCAGTCGGCCGAGTTAGCCTTTTTGCCGTAGGAGGCGTGCGATTGCCCACATACCAGTGTATGACAAATATACAAAATTACGATTCATACACTGTTTTTCACTCGCTAGCAGCTCTTATTCCATGCACTCTTGTGAAGCGTTGGCTTCTCAAGTGCCGTTGTAGCACACACATTGATTAGACAGCGTTGACCTCAAAGCAATCTCGTGCAATTCCATGAGGCAGTCCCTATATTAACCTTACAGCGAGGGGGCGTAGTACGTAGAAACAGAAGTCACGTCCGATTTTATGGCGAATTACGGCAATATGTAAACATAAAGTGCACCGATTCCCTAAGAAGCCAATCTGTTTGTGTACTGCTAATCAGAGCTCTTCCCTAGCATAAGCATTTCAGATTTCGAGTAGAGGGTGTAACGGTAATCTTGCTTGCGGGACAACGAACGGCAACGGGACATGGGCCTCTCGCGGACTCGTATTTGTAACTTGTTGCCCAGTTGGAGTGAGTATGAAATATTTCTTCCCAGTAGATAGCCGGCCGGACAAACGTGCGCTACATCACCCAATTCACCGTGCCGAATGGGCTTCTCCATTGAACACACACACACACACACACACACACACAAAACAGCTGACATCAGATTGAGAGATGGTCACCGACATTAGGATCTCACACAAAAGCATGTAAAGGCGGCTCAAGCTTGGTATAATTAAGTGTTGCAACTGTGCTAGTCAATAGGACGTCTGAAATATAGGGCTGGTTGGCACATGCAACAAACGTGCGAGGGAAAAGCAACCTAGGGATGGTCAGTTGCGCATATCGACAAAAACGGCGCCTAGCTGCCGTGCCACCCAAAGAAAGCGCGAGGACCGAGATTACTGTCAGGTTACTCAAGTCTAGACAGAAGTAGTCAAAATACGGGTTCGAACCACGGATGTTCCGGTAATTAAGTTCTCACCTTAATCACGGAGCCATCTCGAACACAACGAAATGATGAGAAAATCACGAAACACAGGTTGGACACCTAAGAAACTCTACCATGGCAATTTTTCAGTGGCAAAATCGAGGATAAACGAACAATTAGCTTCCTTATTAGCTACCCTTATGAATACAGAAGATTTCGAAGTTATACTCACACACACCACGTCAAAAAGACGTCTACTGTTGAGTGAGCTTGGCGTTAAACGCACTTCCGGAATTTTGCACAATATGTACTGAGAATTGTTATTCGGTAAACGACGGATAAACACAAAGCCAAGGCGACATCCACTTGGTGAAAGTTAGACAATCTGATACCTTTAAGTAATCAATTAGCTGCAATATCTTTTCATTGCCTAGCTGCTATGTCCCAAAGAAAGTAGGTAGGTTGTGCCCAGACAACACAGTGGTTCGAACCAAACCTCAGCGTCTAGATTGTGGAACCCGACAATATCTCATCCCTCACGCATGTTTCGGATGGCATGGCGGCTAGGCACCAAAAGGGTGCTGAACGATACTGTCAGGCTGTCCAAACCTACACAGGAGCAGTCCAGATGCCGCGATTGGGTTCGAACCAGGAAACTTCCGGTCAGTAAGTGTGTGCCAACGAGCCATCTCATAAATTTCCACTCTACAGATGCTGATCTCCGTGGGATGTGTGACACGACGATTTAGTGACTCGCATCAACAATCGGTCGAGTCTCGTACCTCTATTAACAACCACGACATAGACGCAATACACCACTAAAAGGTTGCTGAAATAATTTCGGCGACCCAAGACCGGTATTGCCCTTCTTGGGGCTCATCAGGTAGGCACAGTCCCCGAGTTTCCGTTAACCTTATGTTATACCTAGACCAGATTGCATGAATTTCGACAAATACGCCTATTTGCATATCAGCTTGGTTTTCACAGGAGACTGAAGAACATCGTAAACGAAAGATTCAGCTGAGTCTCCCATAAAAACCAAATTGGTATAAGGAATAACATTCATAATAATGGTGCTGCAAGCCACAAGCGACTGATCGCACATGCAGTGGTGAAAAGCGTCTGTCAGATCAGGTCAGGTGGCATGACGCTGTTTGTTCGCAACAAGCTGTGGGCGGAAATCAACCGCGCTGGAATGCACAGGCGGCCGGCCGTGTATAGCCGAGTCTAGTTCTGCCCTCAGACAAGAGAGTCACAGGTTCAAAGACCTGGACAAATGATAAGTAGGCAGTAGGGTTGAATACCTGACCAAACAGCGTCGGTACTCTAACAATACACGAATAAGGTTACTGAACCTACCATGCCCACCACACCCTTGCCTCGAACCGACTCCAGACTGCCAGTGATGGAGAACACTTTCCAGAAACGTTCGCGAAGTTGTACACGCTCTGAGGTGAAATTTTCCAGGCGGATAAGGTAACGCCACTGAAAAGAAGATGAAAGACAAATTGTAGAAGAAAAACTGAAAACTGCCGTGAAATAAAATCCCAACCGTGAGTCAGAGATTCGGCACGCCCAAACAAAGATAACCTTTGAGGTTCCGGATGAATCAGTAGCAAAATTTATCAACAAGATGTTGGAATACTCTGTATAGTGGGTCAATCTGAGGTGTAATAACTTCATATTGGTCGACAATTGCGTTGGCACTCTGCAGGGGAATCGTTCAACACGATACGCCACGTGTTAGAGACGAACAGAGATAACCTAGCTGCACACACTTTGCTGCTATCCGATCGGAATTGCTGTCTTTCATGCACAAAACATTGTCGCCAGATCCTACACAACCAAGCCTCAGGAGTTAGTAATACCATTTGTTTTTTTGCACCTTGAAAAGGGGTTGTGTGAAACCGAATTTAGCACGCTCGAACCACACTCACATGCATGAAATCGTCACAAGTTCTTGGTTCTGATCATTCACTCAACTGATCGGGAAACACAATGCATATTAGAGAAAGTATCTGTGGTTTGACAAGCAGCTTGCGTTCGAAACTGCTCATCACCCACTGATCACCAAGCGAAATCGTTATCTGGTCAAACGTGCTTCGCCGATTTGAATCCTAAGATATTGAGGTTGTTATACTCCCCGAAATTTGGCTGAATTAGGAGGTAAACAACGAAGCAGCCCAAGACTTCAAAACTGAGTTCTGGCATGGCATATTTCATCAGCCGGGTGTTCTGTGCATTATGCCAGTCAGCATGTATTTGCCCTACAAAGCTAGCGTTTCTAATCTAAAGCCAATCCATGGTTCCGATCAGCCGTGCTACATTGTGATACCTCTTTGTGCGTTGCCGCTGTGAGCTGGGTTTGGTGGCTGATTTTACGATTTAAGGCTGAAATTGATATGAGTCTTCCACATGATCCTAAACCAGGCGAGATGACTCAATGGTTAGAGCGCGAATTTACTGATGGCAAAGTTCGTGGTTCGAACCGACCTCTGCCTCTCGATTTCCCCTGTCTAAGCTTGGGCAACCTGGCAAGATCCCAACCCCTGTACTTCCTTCGGGTGGCATAATAGTTAGGCACCGAAAGGGTGCTAAAGCTGATGAAAAAAACAAAGTGGATAGTGTAATTGTTCTTTTTAGACCACAGTGATGTATTCGGAGCCCAGATAGAACAGGCCACTGTAACTAGCGAAATACACTCATTTGTAAAAAAAATTTGTCTTTTTGCGAGAGACTCATCTGGAACCCAGCTGAATCACTCGTTTATTATGTAACTTCTCTCCGACATAATGGCGATCACCTCACTAGTAAAAAACACTCACCGGTTATACTAGTCATGAATCTACTACCGTTCCATTTGACTTGGATGTCTTTCCGGAAGCGATTAATTTCCCATTTTCAATCTCCTTGAATATGAAAGTGTGCTGACGTTATCGTTCTTTGTTCGATCTTTAATTCCGTGACATTGAATCTCCTTCCAAACGACTTTACCAAACTTCAGAACCAGTCTTACAAGTCGAACGTATCAAAGTGCAGCAACATACATCTGACATTCCCAACCAGTGTGTCCTCACGCGTTTTCGTTTGGATATCTAGGCGCCACATTGTGCACAAACCTAAGCCAACTAGATATGTCAACTACGTGTTCCTTACTTTTCTCCCCCAATTCCTGAAACCGAGACAGAATTCGGTGCCACGTGAGCATATGCTAAAATCCGGTATCACTTGAATCGTTCTCTCCTAGAGGCACTTCTCTGCTGTCTTCTTTTCGGACGGACAGGAAACAACTACTCTGTTTGCAGGATTCCTAGGCCTAGGGGCAATACCGCCCAGTGGAGTAGCGCAAACGTATCTTAGCAAACTTAATAGAGTAAATGTACAGCGGGTGATGGTAACAGATGCCCCTGCATAGTTATCTCAGCTCTTCCTTGTAAAATTGTTCAAGTACACATGAGCACGCTTATACAGAAAACACGACGGAGTTGGCTACCTAAATTGTGCTGCTCGGATCGTCAGAGCTTTGCTTTTCGTTCTAACCCCGGTTTTTCTAGAGAAGGCATGCTAAGAAATAAAGAGCCTACGCAGTCTCAAACAAAAGAGACGGCACGGGAATAGAGGTTAAAAGCCTCGCCCTAAATAATACATAAAAGCAGACTACCATTTGGTGATACTTAACTTCCGCGAGGAAAAAACAGCATACCCGCAGCCAGATTGAAAGGGCTAGTTATGTGGGGCCAATGTACGGCTGATGACAAGAAAAACACAAGCCTAGCGAAATACACTCATTTGGTTTTGCGGGAGACTCGACTGGAACCCAGCTAAATCCTTCGTTTCTGATGTCTTTTTTCAGCGACCTTATGAGTAGTGTATTACGTCTAAACACAAGCCTGTTATGGGGGATGTTGGTTGCCTAGAAGTGGTCGTTGTTCTGTTTGCTGAGCTGCGCAATCCGGTGTGTAGGCCTAAACTCCGACGCACCTCAAACTCATTGTTCACTGATGTCACTTCGGATGGTGAAGAGACGTTTGCAACCAAATTGCCCACTTCAGCGAACAGAGCAAAAAAAAACAAAACAAAACAACTGAGAATAGTTCTACAGACAAATGAATCATCTACCAAGCACCACAAATCCGGTGCGGGTTTAAATGTGGAAAAGATAAGTGACCCTGGGTGGATTCCAAAAGCAACTAATCGATTCACTAAACAAACATATTCGACAATATCACGGGAATTCGATTACAGATTCCCTCCCCCCTCCAACCAGAAAGTCATCTCAACTTTTCGGGCTTAAAATAAAATTTAAACCGAAATATCAAAGACTAACAGGTATTCAAAACACAAAACAAATCGAACCAAACTAGATCGGATCAACTGGACTATCACGGCTGATGGGCTGTTTTGCGCACATGTCCCTACAGTCCCTGCACACAAGGCCATAAAAACAACGAAGAAAACATGGCGGGACTCGGTGTACGTAATAAATGCAGCGCGATAAAAAATTAGGGACACAACAGTGCTTACAACATTCAACATATGAAAGGTGCATCAGTACACATGTCCGCCCTGATTAAGCCATAGTCAACCGGTGATCTGTGCATACCAGATAACACCTAAGGTGTGCTGGAATGGCAAACAGTGGTTGAGATTACAAACAACATTAGAGAGGATCAGTGTCCTGTTAACAACGTTACACGACAAGAGGATTGGTACAGCTCTCAAGCTGAACAGGAGGACAGCTGTCTGCATGGTGCATCCATCATGTGCAACGATAGCGGATGAACCAATCAGAAAGCAGCATGAGGATTATGTCTGGTTGTTAAAGTAGCACGTCCCAGGCGATCGATTATCATACGCAGAGAGTGCGCTAGGTAATTCAGGTAACACTGTGAATGAATAGTTCAGTTCGAACGAGTAGCGTAGGCAAGCCACAGAGGTCCAAACGGACTTTACGGAGAGGCAGTAGAGCTTCGAAAGGGTGTCTGTTCACGCGAAAGCAATTAAAATATTACGTAAGTGATGTTGCCGGGGAAGTTCCTTCGGATTCCTGCTTCCACGACAGAGAGACCGATGGGCTCGTTAAGATCTTCTAGAGATCTACCCTCGTCATTATAAAGATAACTGAAGTAAAATATGAAGTAGAGTAATCCTCTGAACAGTGGATGTTGGGACTAAAAGCACACCCATCGACTATAGATTTCCAACTAAAGCTTGAACGATCAGTGCGTACGTATAAAATATCATAGGCAGCAATATTGAGACTAGAAGAAGTACTGGCAGATGCGTGAAGCTGGGTTAAGAGCCTAAAGCGCTTAGCATGCATGAGGCTATGCCGCATTCAAGTACAATGTAATAGTCATTCAGTTATAGCATCCGTTCGGTGCCTACCTGCAATGTCCCTCGAAAGAAGTACCAGGGCTGGGATACTACCAGGTTGCCCAAACCTACAAAGAAGTCGAGATGCAGATGTCGGGTTCGAACCACGGACCTTCCGGTCAACAAATTCGCGATCTAAGCACTGAGCTACACCGAGCCCTAGCGCTAGTGGATAGCCCTACCGTAAGAGGACGAACTTGGCACCTGTTCGCCCATTTCAGGTAGATGGAGCAGCAAAGAACACGAAAGAACGGGAAACCAATACTCTTCTGGATCAGACATGTGGGACATTCGTTGGACTTAGCGGCCTTGAGCGAAGACACAGCTACCAGCTGTGTCGGGGAAAGAAAATTCTGATAAGCTTAGAATACGGCTGACACAAAATTATGATTGCGTAGAAAAGGTGGGCCATGGTAAAGAACCAGTGGAAAAGTTAGTAGGGTGGAATATGTAAAGGATCTATTTTACGGCTCAGAAACCAAACTCAAAGACACTGTGCCGGAAACGGCACGGTTGTTATGGTGCGCGCAATGGACCGACGGGTCTGGGATTCAATTTCATCCCTGGCTCTTCGACTGGCTGTGCATTCACACTATGCCAGACATCACGCTCTTCAAGGATGTAACATTCGAAGCACTTCTGTTCTCCTTAAGTATTGGATGGCAAAAGGTACATGACAGACATCACGCTCTTCAAGGATGTAACATTACCCGACCGCACGCTGATGAAGCGTTTGCAAGTCAGTTAGCAAGCGCGGTGACCGAATCAGCACCCAGCTGACAAAAACCAGCGAATGCACCCGATCTACCAGTAATTCGAAGCACTTATGTTCTCCTTAAGTATTGGACGGCAAAAGGTACCACAACAGAACGGCGTGAGTGAACGAATGACTGCACATCACTATGTACACAGTATGGACGCTCTCACAAACCTAAACCCTTTGCTAAACTTGTTCTAGAGCGATAAACCGACGATATCCTGATGGTTACACGGAAGAAACGTATTTACCTGTAGCCAACTGAAAAAATTCGTGATCTGGTCGAAACGTCGGGCTATTGATCTGCAGATCGAGTGCGAAAAACTACACCTAGTTAGTTAGTTAGTTAGTTACATCCGCAAACACCATAACTTCCTCTTCAATACATCGCACGTTATACATCCACATTCAATCGATATTAGCAACAGTGTAGATGACACCTGCGTTCGCAGTGGCGCCACAGTTATCAGTCCGAATCAACTGGATTAGTTCCGGTAGTGCAACTCTGCGGCTTCGGCGTTTTTCAACAACTGACCGTTGCAACCTGAAGCATTTAAGATGTGCAGTGAAGACGAGAATTACATTACAGTCCTCTTCTCCTTCCCGAGTACATACGCTCGAAGAATCGAAAATGGTTGGCTCTTGAAAGCAAGCAACATAACCGAATTTCCGACTCTTGAGAAACTAAACATTACCAAAATGGAGGCTAGTCAGCAGTGTGAGCAGCAGTTCACACCTAGACAAACCATAGCGATTCCACAATCACCAATCGTTCAGTTTACGTTAAGCAAAACGACTCGAGATGGCTCAGCGGTTGTTAGGCGGAATTCCACACGGATCCCGCTTTACCACTTGCAGTCATGTGCTGCTACGGCCGTCAGTTCACTCTACTGACTAGTCACAAGTCATTCCTTGCTGTGTTTCGCCCGATGGAAGGAATCCCGACATATATTGCCAACCATCTGTAGCCTCGGACAAGACGCCGCACTGTCGCGACTCACTGATTCAAGTAGGCCGAAACCAGAAGACACCGTAGTCGCAACAATTGCCCTGGAACCGGAGGTTGACCACGTAGTGTCCAAGGCGATTCGCATCCTCCCAGTGACTACCGACATGGTCCGCCAGGTTACCGATCAAGACCCTGTGCTGCAGCAAGTTACCACCCCAACCAGTGGCCACGTACCTGCCCAAAAGACGAACTGAGACCTTACTTTAACCGACGTGACCAGTATTACTAGCCGACGGATACCTTTTGTTTTTAGAACGCGTTGTCATCCCAAAGAAGTTACAACTAGCCTTCCTGAACTAGTTTGATAAAGAGCACCAGGGAACAAATAAGATGAAGGCCCTTGCTCGGAGTTGTCTCCTGGCCTTTGATGGACTCACAGATCCAGCAAGTATGAAAGCCTTGTCTGCGGTGTGGAGCAATAAGTCACCTCCGAAAATCTACCTACGGTCGTGGCCGCAACCGATCGAACCCTGGTCTCGTCTTCACATCGATTATGCAGCTCGTGGGTGGCCAATACTTTTTGGTCGTGATCGATGCCTATAACAAATGGCTGGAAATTCTTCTAGTGAACAGCCCCACCACTGCCACCACCGTCCTAGAACTCCGATGACTGTTCAGTCGTTTTGGAACACCGGAGACTATTGCACCGACAATGTTAGTCAGTTCATTTCGTCCGGGGTCGCAAACTTTTGGCCGAACTATGGCATAACGCATGTCCACTCGCCGCCGTTTCATCCATAGCCAAACGGCCAGGCGAAACGGTTCGTTGACACTCTGAAGCGGGCACTTCAGAAGTCCAGAGGGAGGGACCAACGGAAGAGATTTTGCAAAGGTTCCTGCTGGCATATCGAGCGAGGCGAAACCCAAATTCACCTGATGGAGTGTCACCAGCAGAGACACTGTTCCGAAGGTGGCTTCGAACACTTCATGACACTATCCGGCCACAAAAAAGGCAGGCTAGTCACCGCAACACCAGAATGGAGGAACAGTTCAACCGGTATCATGAAGTAACTAGGCGCTCATTCAGCGAAGGCCAGAGAGTGCTGGCTCGTGACTACAGAGGCAGACACCCTACGTGGATTCCAGGACTCATCCTTCGCCGGCGCGGCAAAGTGCTCTACGAGATTCAAGTTGGCCCAGCCAAGTGGATACGCCACACACACCAAATCCGGCCGATAGATGCGCAGATTCTATCCACAGGACCGAGTGAGTCGAGTCTATAAATACTTCTGGACACTTTTGAACTCGGCACCATCCCAGAAAATCAATCAGCTGCTTCGTCGGAGGCCCAGCCTGAGCACGGATTACAACCACGACGCTGGACAGACAGGATCCGCAAGTCAGTGAGGCCACTGCAAGTGAACCCTCGGCTTCGAAGTTACGTCAACAAACTTCAAGGGGGCTGTTAAGCAGAATTCCACGGGGATTCCCCTTTACCGCTCGCAGTCAGGTGCTGCGACGGCCGAGATGTCCATCCCACGCAAGACTGGCCGAAAATTCGGGACGATGGTAGGTCCGTATATATATATATATGAAGCGCCGTACAAGTGTTCCTGACTTCGTTTTGGGCGTTAATTATACTTTGTGTACCTTTGGTGGTTGTTTTGCCGTGAACGCTATATTGGGAGGAAATAAGCTGAAAAAAATACCGTTATTACAGTGGTCAAGCCACTAACTCACTGAAGGTCCGTGGTTCAAACCGGACCTCTGCATTTCGACTGCTCCTGCCTAGGCTTCGACAACCTGGCAGTAGCTGTCCTCGCGCTTCCTTCGGGTGCAAAGAAAAGGGTGCTGCAGCTGAACGGTTATTTTTTTATTTTACTAACTTCAATATAAGATACCACAAAACTACAAACGAAAGGTCCATTCGAGTCTCGCCTTCATACCAGCTTGGTTTGCAAAACAGGATTGATGTGCTCCGCGCATTTTTGTTTAATTCGTAAGCTGATGGAAATCAGATGTGTATGATAGGATTGCGTTTTGTAAATCCGCTTTTACCTAACTGCATAACATGTGTTTACAATCCCTTGAGAACGAACAATGGGTTGAATAAATGAGCTTGAAACGATGTTAGAACGGACCAAAATCTTTCATACTGAGAGCACATTTTCTAGTAGGGAACGATTTATTCAGCTATGATGCACTCAACTTGAAAGAAACAGAAAAAAGCCGTGGAAAAACTGAAACTGGGTTCGAAACACAGACCTCCAAGTCAGCGGCCTTATGTTTTAACCGCTGAGCTACTTCCAATATTTTTAATAGTGTAAACATCAACAACCCGGACTCTGTCGGCCAGTTGACCAGCTTGACTAAAAGTTGCGCTGACAGATGAGGAGCCGAAACCCGAGGCAAACTTACGTGTTGGTTGGTATCTGTGGTAAAGGGAGCGTCTAGGGTCGTCCCTGTTCCCAGGATTGCGTGGTCACCCAATTCAAGCTTAGCAGAAAATAAAAATCTCTCAGCTGTAACACCTCGCGGTGTCAAGCTGCCATGCTACCCGAAAGAAGCACGAGGGCTGGGATACTGTCAGGTTGTCTAAGCCTAAACAGGGGAAGTCGGAAGGCAGAGGTCGGGTTTGAACCAAGGACCTTCCGGTCAGTAAATTCGCGCTCTAACCACTTGAGCCATCTCGCTTAGCAGACGGGGGGGGGGGGGGTCGATGAGAATCGCTACGGACAGCATATACCTGAATGTATCTACTGAACGTTGTCCAACTTCAATACAACATATTGTAAGCGGGAAGAAAATTTCTAGGACAGACTGGGGGGGGGTCGATGAGAATCGCTACGGACAGCATATACCTGAATGTATCTACTGAACGTTGTCCAACTTCAATACAACATATTGTAAGTGGGAAGAAAATTTCTAGTATAAATGATTCAGCATGCAGAATCTGACCAGAGGACACTACTAGCTGCGTCTAGGAAACCGATCCTACCGATGGTGGTTGGTCTAAGTTGAGTAAAATTACAGACGACCACAAGTTCGAATCATAGAACACAGAGAACACTAGTGACAATGGGACGCATTGGTGTAGGACACAGTTGAAGTACGGGCTGAGAACTCTCTTCGACGAACGATGGTTCGGCGTACGCAACACATGTCCTAACCAACGCAGCTTCTGGTGCTGGACACATTGTTCAATGGAAGTACCCGTTGCACAACCGAAAAAACACTTTCTAACTGTTCAACACACGAGTCCAACACACACAAGTAACATACACACACTCACACATTCATCATAGGTCACATAATGGCAACACTGTCTGATTAATTGGTTTCCTCAGGAAAAATCGTTCTGAGCGGTCAAAAATCCGAGCAGTTACAGTTCGTAAACGCTCGCTTGTTACGTAGAACAGCATTTCACTTCACAATGAGCTTCGAGTAGCGAGCAGCAAAGATCCGAATTCTGCCTTTGGTTCACATTGGTTCCGAACCATGATGGCTCAGGGGGGGAGATGGCCCAAGTGGTTAGAGCGCGAATTTACTGACCAGAAGGTCCGTGGTTCGAACCCGACCTCTGCCTTCCGACTTCCCCTGTTTAGGCTTAGACAACCTGACAGTATCCCAGTGCTCCCTTCAGGTAGCATGGCAGATAGGCACCGGAAGGGTGTTACAGCTGGACGATTTTTCGAATTTTTTTTTCATCAAACAACCCTTAGTGCACGCTGTCCCGTTAGCAAACATTCTGTTCTGGAAAATAACCTACGCGAGAATCCAGCAGTTTAATAATTACCCCTAATAAGCGGGTCATAAAACCCGAGAGAAAAAAACGCCAACTGAAAAAAAACAGAGTTATCTAACAAGTTTGTTCAAAGCTGTATTGAAAATGGAGGGAATCACTTGACGAGAAAAGAGGGCATACTTACGTATCGGATGTGTTTGTCGTTTTTGTCCTGTATGGAAAAATGAAGAAGAAAAAGGGGAATTGGAGAAGGGCAGTAAACAGACACCATTATGGTGAAAAGGGCTCCAGCGCACGTCACCTGAGAGTTACGCCAAATGGCAAAAGACGACAGTCGCATCGCATACGCTTACTGTAAGTGATGATAGAAAAGAAATATGGCGAGTGGTTCACTCATTATCATAGTGGTCATCATCACAGACAGCAACAGCAGCAATGTGACAACAGCGGCATATACTATCAAGGCCAACTAAAGGTCAGGGTGTGAAGCTACTGACCGGAAGGCCCGTGGTTCGAACCCCAACCCGGTTTCTCGACTGGACGAACTGGCAATATATGTCGTTATCTCAGTTCCTTTAAGTGACACGGCCGAGACACACTGAAAGAATGACCGTTGGACTAATATTTATGATAAACAGCTATGCCATGTTGGGTTAAAGGGAGACCAAATGTAAGAATAACAGAAGCCCTAAGACTGAATTTTGGAACGGTAATTTGTGCTACTTGCTGTTCGACAGTTGCACGTGCGAAACAGTTCCCGAGTTGCGGCGAACTTGGCGAATTGAACTGAATGCGACTGCATGTCTTTGGTCGAAAGGTCCGCTAGTCAAAGCAGTCCTAACCAAGGTAGAATAAATGGGATCAGACTCCCATGCGTATCAGCGGTAAGAAACCAGATTGATACTGAGGGGGAAACAGCAGTAAAGCCAACCGGTAAGGCGGAGGGTACCGCACAATGGTATTGGTGGGTTATTGTAGCTTACTGGTCTAGAAGTGTGAGCGAAATTTCCACCAGTTGAAATCAATGCTTGGACGCAATTCCCTTACACTGCGATTCTACATTAACTGTCCCGTCAATAAGAAACTAGAGCTTACCGTGGTGTGACAGTTTGTGCAATTTCATAGTCAACCGAGCTACAGTGGGAAGATGTCCTAGGGACGCTTGCATTCTCTCACACCAGCTTGGTGAATGGGTCATCACAGCTTCTAGATTGCGGGTTGGAACATGCGGTGGCTTGCTCTTTTAAAATGGCAATGAACTTGCATTTCCCGCCGAACACCACTGTCTTTTGAATCAAACGCTCTAATTTAGGAACCTAACGATTCTCCTGTCTAGGTCTGGGCGCCCTGGTAGTCCACGTACAACGATGGTACTTGTACCTACAACACCTGTTGTCTTTACCGACGCTTCCAATTATGAAGTTTATCCCGTTTCTTCCCTAGAGGTTGCGAAAAAGGAAACCTCATTGATAATCGTTACCTCTACGCTTCCAATTCAAGCTACCCTGCTGTTGTCCCGCCCCACGACAAGTGACATACAGGAAAAAATGCAGCGGCAACTTCAGACGAGGACGATCTCCTACTACCAACAGAGAAATCACTCAACCAACGAAAAGAGGGGCGGATAGTTTCGAACCAGGCGAAACCGTTCACATCATGAGTACTGTCCCGGACATTTGCGCTGGTACGCAGAGACTGAAGATATGACTGACCTAAGATATGATTGGAAAGGGGACACAGCGTGCGCTGGTGGAATGATCTCGGGGCATATCGAATAGCGACCTACGAACAATTACGCACTCAAGGATTTTCGGATACCGTCCTGCAGTAGCAGGACGCACCACCATACCCTCAGTGTAGCTGTCAGTAGGGCGAACAGGTGAGGCAGCTAGTGAGGTTATTCACGCTAGTTGTTCCCCACATTGCCTGCATGGAACTGTTGGCCACCTGTTGGTCGTAAACAAATCATGATTTGGGTTTATTAATGACAGATGGAGGCTCACACCGCAGACGTTGCCAGCAGCCACCAGTGAACTCAGCTTATATATCACCCGACCTGGATAAATGGGATTGACTGTTGAAGTGCACACAGCTAGTAGAATATAGGTGCTAGTTAATGGAGACGTTCGGACAGCACACGAGTAGTGAGAACCAGTCAATTCACGTGGAATAAAATCAATGACGATGTCCTCTTCGACAAGACTCTGGTCATCAATGGATCCCCGTTTGCCGTAGACTCCTCCACTTGGTGGCAGCGGACTCGAGTCGCAACCACAATCACAGTTTAAGATGACTTTCACAGTAGACAGAGATTGCTTTCTAGCGAGACATCGCTAATAGGGGCCTGTGTTCTATCGGAAAAGAGGATAAACATCGTCCAGCTGTAGGACCCTTTCGGTGCCTAGCTGCCACGCCACCAGAAGGAAACACGAGGGCTGGGATACTGCCAAGCTTCTCAAGCCTAGACAGGGAAGTTGAGAGGCGGAGGTCGGGTTCGAACCACGCAGTTTCCGATCAGTAAATTCGCGCTCTAACCAGTTGAGCCATCACGCTCTGAAGATAGGAACTGCGACTATACATCACCTTGAGACCCATCTTTACCAAGAAAACTATGATCAATGCTTCTTCCTCGATCTGAACATAGTGGGCCTCCGCTGGTGTTCGTATAAGAACAAGCTGCGCGATCGTTTTTTTATCGAAACGACGACATGAAACGGTTCAGACGTCGTGATCGGAACTGTCTGTGGCCACAATGATAGGCAACATGGGGACGCAATGTCAGCAAATCTGGGCCATACATTGCCTCAGTTAACCAAATGCACGTCCTTACGTAAGCCAGAACGGAAAACCACGGAGCTGGATAGTCCTAAAATTCTGACAAAATTAAAAAACCTTCCATTTCACTAGAGACAAATCACTCCTATTACTCATTTACGACATTGCAATGGTCGACAGGGCTGTGTGGATACGAGCGTGTGGAGCGCAACCAGACAGTAAGTGAAACAGCTTTTGGACGCAGGCAAGCACACGCAGACACACACACACACACAAACATATGCAGAACGACAGCAGGATGGCTGCGCCATCTTGTTGGCGCAAAACAATCATCAGACTGGTGTGTGCACAGGCAGCGCGCAGCGCTTCACTGTGCGGCCGCGTTTCACATCACGCCGTGCGCACATGTGACCAGCTGACACTCACTACTGATGGACAGGCAGGTAGAGCGGGAAAAAGTAGTGTGAACGGAAAGAAAACGTGCAACACTTACGCCAACTAGTCTTCGACCCATGAAGAAGGGAATGGTGGTTGTTCGGATTCCCTCGGTAACTTCCCGGTGTACGGTTGTTACTTCAAGGCTTTGTCTACGTGTCTCAATCCATCGTCGGAGATTGTCCGTCGGAACCAGGGGAGGGTCTAGACAGAATGGGGTGGAGTGATGATCCGTGAAGGAACTTTAGGGATGGCACTAGCATGCAAACACAACTTTGTGAAGTACACATAGCACGACAAATTCACATGAGCACCGTCTTTTCCAGGTGGAACTTCAGCCGGAGCTTTTCACGTGACCGAAAAGGGGTCAGGAGTAAGTGTGCAGCAAAACCAGATTCCAAAAATTTACGAGCGCGCAACAGAAGGAAAACCAAAATGGGAGCAAGACAAATCCTCAGATGAGCTACACTCTCTAACTGTGAAATCACCGCCGTCTGGCTGCTAACAACGGTAATTCGTTAAGCAATCACACAGACTTACCTGTCTGAGGCATCTCACAACATACGGTTAGTGTCATGATTTGCGGAATCAATCCATGAATTAGTGAATCGAATGCTTAGTTATTGGGAATCCGATATTTTTCTTGTCATTGCTCTCATGGTGCCGTTCTCAGGTAAATCAACGTCACACGACAGCTTCAAATTTACTCAAAGCAGGTCATTCCACTGGGAAAAATCCGGTCTGTCAGCTTAACAAAACTCTTCTTTCACAATGGAGTAGATGGATAGTTCCTCGACTGTGTATTACCTCTCGTTTAGATCACTAACGATTCCTTCATATTGGGACTATAGCTAATTCAGAACATCAGATAATGCCATGAGTCACAAAAAAAGAAGTAGTTTGTTGGTACCACGGAAACTTGACAAAGCTACATGATGCTTCGCCGATGCTATTTTTCGAGGAATCAGAGAATGTAGGTCGATGGAGTCGAATAAATCATTATTATCATCAGAGACCACAACATTAGGATTGACACTGGTGATTCACTGCAGTACAACCACAAAGTTCGTTTGATTGTTGCTGGGGCTATCTCCCAAAACTCTGTATCTTTGTGTATGCCAACGAACTTCCGGCATTTTTCAAGGTTAAACTGTGGATATATATATATATATA